GCAATTTTACAGAAAAATCTCTGGATCTACGCATATTCGGACTAGATAATAAAAATTATCACTTACCGATTAACAATCTGTGTGCAGAGATCGATATTGAGAAAAGTAACTTTAAAGTAAAAACTGATATGATTGTCGTATCACTCGCAAAAAAGATTGCCAAAGAGTGGTCGCATGTCACATTAGTAGAGAAGAGAATCAAAGACGCGAAATCGCCATCCATGCCTGAATTAGGTGAGGACACTGATCCTAGCGCCAGCCTGATGAATCTTATGAAAAAAATGTATCAGGATGGCGACGATGAAACGAAGAAAACCATAGCGAAGGCATGGACTGAGAGTCAGGAGAAACAAAGAAATGGCGCAAGTATAGATTTATAATTTCGGTATCAATCTAATCTAGATATGTTTTATCCATTTCTTTTTTGATACGTTAAAAAGTGTAATATAAATTATAGAGAACAATGCTCTCAAGAAACGAAAATGTGATTTTATATATATATATATATCTTTTATCTCTGTGTAAAGAAAGTAAAAATACACAACATTGGTATAACAAGTTTTCAGTCTTAAGTAGATTAAAAAAAGTTTCTTTCATCATCAATCTAATTTCAAAATTGAAAAAAATCAAAATTTAGATATTTTAATTTTAAGCAGTTATATATTTTCTGAACATATTCAAAAATTATATTTAAATTTCATTTAAAATATTTTAAGTCTTGAAATAATTAAGTCATGAAATCTTAATTTTTTTTTTTCATGTTTATTCATGTAAATATATGTTTGATAAATATTATTATATTTATGAATAATTACACCGTTGTCATAGTATTGATATTGAACTATTGGAAACAATTATTTGCGTGCTGTGTGTTAACAATTGTGCATTTTCGATGAATCATTCATTGTATGTCGTTGGAGGAATTAATAAAATCACATGTCCAATTAACTAAAATCAGGTATCTTTATTATCTGCCTTTGCATTTTGCAAATCATCTTTTAATTTACATTGTGATTATTTGTAATCGATATAATATATAAAATATTCTTGAACAAGCTTGAGCAGCTACGGGTCTTGCTTCGCAACAGATAAAGACTTTGTACGACATAGATATAGTTCGTTGAATTCTGTTTGCGATGTTATTCGTTACGTGTTCAATCTACACCATCATCAAATTGATTTATATTAACCATGACAAAAATGCACAGCCCAAGTACAAAAATCTTTGGAATAATAAGCTACACTAGCTTTACATTACGTTCTCTTATAAAATAATCAATCAATACTTGCAGTTAAAAAATTCAAATCTACAATTTTGCGTTTGCTAAGAATGGAATAATGCATTTCGCCTACGGAACTAGCGTGTGACAGCTGTTTTCTTTTTTTTTGCAAATTGGCACTGAGATGATAAATCCTTGGTAGATGACATTCTTATTAAATGTAAGCATCGTTAAGATATTTTAAGCGATTTTCAATGAATCACAGATATTCCTTATATATCTGCAATTTAAGTTGTTTACAATGTTTACAATGTTTGATTAAGAGGAACATGCTGATTGATCGATAATAAAACTTATGCTATCAAGAAGAGAAATAGACGTCGACAATATTCGTAAATTCGAAAAAAAGAAAGTTTTTTCAAATTTCTAAATGGCAAAAACTTTACTCCAAATTGTTCTATTTATTTATATACGAAATATATTATTCAATTATGCTAGAAATCGTATATTAAACGCCAATATTAATAGCGTACGATTGAAAATTGTGCGTTTTTTTATTCATCAGGAAGATAATACTAACGCGATCGACCCGTACGAAAAAGTTCCGAATTTACTTGATTGCATCTATAATACGATCGATTAACATGAGATCTCAAAATTCCATATAACATTTTTCATAAACTACGTTGCTTTTTATCAGATATCATTGTCGCAATGTATGCTTTCGATGATGCTTTCATGTATTAATATGTTATTATCGAACGTCTTTTCGACTAAGAAATATCCGAGAAAAACAGATTAATAGATAATGTAAGATTACATATTTCGCAATGATTACATATTCGATTCATTTTGGTCACGATATAAAAATATTCATAATTATCATGACGAACACATCTCATATAATAATATATAAGAATAATAATAATATATATAGCGGCAACGAAAAGAGTGTATATGCGGAATCCTGCACATTTAAAAAATTATGACACTTAAAAAGATACATATTTCATTATATAAACCATTCATATTCTTAAAATTTAACACAAATTTAACTTCGACATTCAATTCAAAATGTTATATTTTTCTTAAAATCAGTTGACCAAGACGGCATACGATCACATAAAGTGTATACCATAGCATCAAAGAATTTATAAAACATGATGTAATTTTCCAAATAGAATAATATATCGACACACACACACACACACACACACACACACACACACACACACACACACACACATATATATATATATATTATATAGTAGGGGAGACCGGGGCTAAGCTGGCATTTGAATTTTGAGTTGCAAAAATATATCTTATAAGTTCCCAATACTGTATATTTATATTGTAAATGACATCTTGTGTGTCTTCTTTACGAAGTTTGATTAGTTTAAATGCCGCTTTATTATGTTTAGATAGTCGAACGTATTTTCAATAGTCAAAAGTAATTTTTGAGATTTCATTTTTCGAATCACATTTTTTATGTATATAGATGAAAGTTGCAAATGAAGTTGCAAAAATTGAAACTTTTTATTGCCACTTTGTGATTTTATAATCATTCTATAAAACGCTAATAATATAATATTTGACTAAAATTGTTTATTTTATTATTGAAAACTGCAATTGAAAAAAAGGCCCACTTAGTCCCGGTCTCCCCTATACATACAATATATATATATATAGAGCACTCATATAAATTTCGAAATTTGACCGATCAAATAAATAAAACCTTAAAACACTTATTTTTATACAATAAAGTAAATTTTTTTGTATAATAAGTAAATTTTCTATTTGTATAATATACTTAAATAAATTTTCTATTTGAGTACTTATATCTATTTAAAAATTATAGAAAGTTGTTGAAAATCAATGCGATATATAATTTCATTAAACGAAAACAATTTTAACATTATTTGGATTGTGCTACGGTTTATCATGTAATCATTGTAATTCATAAGAAAATTGATATTTGATGCAGAATATAAACGATATTACAGTGTGAAATTGCGCAAACGATTGGATAAAATGGTTGTTACATATGTGATAACTAGTTTGCTTGTTCACAAACAAGCATTTATAATTCTACATTCTATAACACGCATTCATTTTGTAGAATATTAAAAAATGGGAATCTGCCAATAAGTATACTGAATGATCTTAGAAATCATTCTTAGAAATCATTGGAAGAAAAATACAAGCGCAATTACATAATGCTTGTTTTGCCAAGAACTAGGTCAATTTTCTTGGTCAATTATTATTAATCGCTGATAAGTTATTAGTAAAAAATGTAAGCTATGCTAAACTGAACACAATCGCTATTTGGAAATAAAGATATAATGTAAACGAAGATATTATAATCTCTTAATATTGAATGTGACATTTCATCAGTTATATGTAATATATATAGAGTATTGCAATTAAAAGTGCAATAGATTATTTAAAAAATGCCCAAGGACTAAAGTTTAATATTGCCGATCATTTTCGCAATATCGCAATTATAACTATTGTAATAGTAGGTGAAAACATATGTATGTACATTGCAGCACAGTGTGAATATAATGTGCTTGAGGCTTAATATATTTTCTGTCGATTAAAATATTATTTTTCTCATTATTTGGATTATGAATAAATTATCTCGATTTACAATGATAAGTTAATCAACAATTGAAATTAAATTACATTTTATACTTCAGACGAAATATATTCGGAAAATTATCCGAAAGAATGTTAAAATTTCTCTTCTCTTTTAAATATTTAGAATTAAAGCATTTTTTCCTATCATTACGTGTACCTTAATCTGTTTTAATCATTTTAGATAAACATATGAAAACAAATGGAAGCATAAAACAGACAAGTAGGAACGTACAAGCGTATCTTATACATACCAAAGTATATCTAGTGGAATTTAGTACAAATCTTTAAGTATAAACGTTAACAATGTTTCCACAATTTATACAAAAATGCATTCTAATCATATTTACAATCCGTAACTCTACGAAAAATCATGATGTACATATCGAAAATTTCTTTTTTTTCTCTCTCACTGTCTTCGCGTCCGTAAAAAGTATACCGTATATTTTAAGAATTTACCGTATGCAATTTTTTTAAAATCTAATTAATCATCATCTAATTAATAATGATATTTATTAATTCTTCAGCGATGCATATAACTCTTCTAATAACTATACTTATTTTATCACACGCTAAAATCATACGTAGCACAGTAGCGCATAGAAAGCGCTTTCTAAATGCTTTGCAGGCGCTATTGTACTACGTGGAGTTCGTTTTATGCAAGAACCAAATCGCCCATATATCCCAAATATAGATATAACAATAAAGAACAATAAAGATTACTCGGTTTATTTGTTAGTCATAAATACTGAAGAATTATTTAAAAATCTCGCGAGAGATTTATGCAATAACGAATAAACAAATTAAAATACGAAAAGAATATAGACAAGTATTATACAAATTCGAATATTATCTACTTTCTCTGAATCAGTTAGAGATTAAAATATAAATTAGGATACTATAATATTATTATATACCAATAACACAATAAAAAAACATTTGGACGCTAAAATCTTTGATTCCCGCATGGAGACTTATTTACTAATATTCTCCCTGATGGAAAAATTTTACGAAAAACTACATAGATTGATATAAGATTGATATAAGATTGACATAAGATCTTAAGAAATTCTTAATAGATATTCTTAGTAGATAGTGGGATGCAGAGTGGCATTGTTTGTTTGAAAAATAAAAAACCCTCCGTTCTCAATATCTATGAAAAATTAAAAATTTCGAAGATCTTGTCTCGACCTATGTTATGTTTCGTAAAAAATGTTTTCCCCCACGGCTTGTAAAGAAGTAAGCATTTGCTCATTTTTTAATAAGATGAGCCCGTTACAGTCTAATAATGATCATTCGATGTATTCTTACCGAACAGGAAGGGATTGTTGAATTTCACGACTTGTCGCGTGAAATACTTCACTCATGGTGCTTCGTGTCTTTTCCATTAATTCTTCTACGTCGTCCGTACTGAGTCCCTCAGTTGAAATGGGTGGTAATGTCGTCACGACGATGCGTCCTTTAATTAAGTGAATTTTAAACTGCTTCTGATAATCTCATGCAAATTTCCGATAAAGAAATTATTTTCACAGGTTGCTTCTTCTAGAAGACAATTTTATTATTCAATTAAGTCACTAAATTTTAATTTTTTATATTATGTATCATTCAATCCTTATGTCAATATTCAAGAACTCCTTGGCAAAGAAAAAAATTTTAATTTTAAAACTGATGTTAGAAATTATATTGTTAAATGCGAAGATGTGTTCTTTTTAGTTAGTGTTATCTAGGAGTCTTTTTTAAGATAAGCGTCCTTATGAAGATAAGGTTAAATTTTTCAAAGTATGGATATTTCTATGACAAATCTCAATGATTATTTTCGATTCGATTTTGTGTTACAATGATGATAAACTCTATTTGTTTATTGATACAATATTCAACATCATACCGTTATGCATCATAAGTCACTAAAGGTTATCAACATATTGCTCAAAAAGATATTTCAAAATCGAAAACATAAAACATCAATTTATAGAAAAAAAGTAGGAAGAAGTTCAACGTCTAAACAAACTTGACTTGAACCAAAGTCTTGAAATATAAAAAGCATGCGAAATTTTACGATGCATCTTGATATAAGGGTCAAAATGCAAGTAAACGATCGAAAACTCGATCGAAAACTTTAAGCATAAAATTAAGTTATTGTTAATCTATTAGATGTAGTAAAAAGAAGTCCATTATTTTTCCATTCAATTTCATGCAAAAATAATGGATTTCTTTTTATTACACCTAATATATCCTTGAGATTTAATTCTTCAAAAGATTTAATTTTTGCAATTTTCTTTTTATTTTTAATATTTTTTAACTTTCTATTTTTTGTAGCCTCACAATTTACTTACCGGAATCAAATCTCTTCTCTTTCGCGGATAAGAAATAATAAGAAGAGAATACAACTGGTAGTATGGGTAACTGCGATCTGATCGCGACATGGAAGGCACCCTTCTTGAAAGGATGTATCTCACCAGTGTTACGTCTAGTTCCCTCAGGGAATATCCACAGTTTAATCTGTGAAGTGATGAAAAGTATAGTAGAAAGCAAATGGTATAAATCAACACGAACATTCCAAGCACGACTACCTTCTTATCCTTGATCTCCTTCGTGGCGGTATTGAGGGCGGATCGCGCTTTCTCGGAATTCATTCTATCGATGAAAATTAGACCGCACAACCATGCGGCCAAGCCGACCGGCCATGCATAGAAAATTTCTTTTTTGGCAACAGCAGTGCATTTGTCCATCACCGGCCAAAGATCAAACATTCCCAATACGTCTAATGAGCTCTGATGATTTACCACAATTATACAAGCCCTATTCTTCTCCAAGTGCTCCCTTCCTCGCAGTTCCCATCGCAGTCCTAGCAGAGTGCTAATGTGTTGACACGACCACGATGCTATTCTGCAAGAAGAAAAAATATTTTCCCATAGTATCAATAATACAATTAACTTGATGAAAGCAATCATTTTATTTTGGATAATTTGAGATATAGGCAAGAAAGGATAAAAGAATCTTTTTGCTAAAAAATATAATGGACTTCCTTATATGCAATTGTAAAAAATTAAACATCTAAAAATAAAAAGTATCTTGTTTTTCAAATACTTCGATTTTTTTCAACCGCGAATATTACAAGATAAATATTTATTTTTTATAATGTATAATATGATTTTGTGTATTATTAAAAATTTATATAAAAAATCTTAATATACGTAAAATGCGCAAATTAAACTCTGTCTTTTCTATAAATAATTTTTTGGTGATATTGATGAAATTATCAATTACAGACGTTTCGACCATAAGATTAAGTAAAATTTTAATGTAACAATAAAATTATCAGAGTCAAATTGATACGTTGTAAACAATAGGCGAATGCTGTCAGTAAATCATCATTAGATTGTTGTCGAAAATTAAGAACTTCATTATCATCTGTTGTTAGCTGGACATCCAAAGAATTAGATACAAGAATTCAATCATTTAAATTGTTCTCAGCCTAATGATGATCCGTTATAATACGATGATTATTTTATAACGTATCAGATTGATTCCAATAATTTTATTATTATGTTACAATGAAGAGGACCTAATCTTATGGTCGAAACGTCTGCAATTGGTGATTAACATATATATTATTTTTTCTTACACACGTACAATTGTGTCGACTTTCATTGGCTTTACACTCCTTTATTTATATAAATATATTCGATTTTTTTCTTTCTTTCATAATTTTATTTTCTTGCTTGTATCTTACATATCTATAATCATATTCTGCAAGAAATTTACATCAACATTTTAATGAAGTAAATTTTAATCATTTGTAGTTTATAATTATGAATGACTAATTGTAAGCATTGAAATGAAGAAAAAAAAGAGTTCTTTGGATCTCAATATATTCCTCAATATACAAAAAAATGATTAATTCTTATCGGTATTTTTTATTTCTGCGAAGCATACAACTTTTATCTCTATTAAGTGTACAAGTTAAACTGATAAATGAGTTAACACATAAAAGAATTAGATACAATTATGTAACAAAGCATTGAGAAAAATAAAAATTCTTCAATATTTTGGATTAGATAATCTTTTAAGATCTAATGTCCATTTCCATTAATGCATTAACTTTAATCTCGGTTCCATTTACTCTTTGTTTTTTTTTTAGTTCTAAAGATTAGAAAAAGACAAAGAGTAAGTTGAACCGAGATTAAAGTTAATCTACGTTGGTGAAAATTAGCATAATTATAGATTTACTGTATCGTGTCGTTTCTCTTTCTCTCTCTTTAAATTAATTTTGAAGTCATGCGTGTCAATATAAAAGAATATCGAATATTATCGAGAATTTCGAGCTGTTAAAACGCTTCAAGTATTAGATAAACTTGTTTTTAGAACTTTGTACTATATATTTCTCCAAAGTTCATTGATCGCTATGATTCAATTGACGAGATTCACTCGTATAAAAGTGTATGAAGATTCATTCAACGACTTCGTCTTTATATTTATGAAAAACAAATGTCAAACTTTCTTATTTTTTTTATCTTTTTAGAATTTTTGCATAGACTTGAAAATCCGTACTTATTCAGAACGCGCTTTTATCATGACGTTAGTGCACATTTAACATATAATTACATGTACTATATTACCTATAGAATATCAGAAATACAATTTCAGAAGTACGCAATTATCGATAAAATATTATCAGCCTGTATACGAATATAGACCGAAAAGTAGGAAATAGTTTAACTTTCGTTAAACTATTTCCTACTTTGGTGCGCATGAAAAAAATTTCTGAAAAAAGTAACTTCAATAAAATTAACATTAAATAAATTTAAAAATAGTAGAACTATCGATGTAATTCTATTAAGAAGCTATATTTAAAAAAATTCAAATTCCATTGTTTAACATTTTAAAGAGTTTCAAGAATATGTTGAAGTATTGCAACGATTTCAAAACTTACCCTCTCCCTTTTAGTTATTTTGCCTCATTAATGCTATTACCATAATATGTACATATTTTAATTAGTCAATCAATAAAAAAATCAAAATTTGTAATATTAAAAACTTAAATGTCAAGATACAAGACATATTGCATAAATTTTAAAAATTATCTCTCTTCTCCATCCATTAATTTAATTACAAACAAAGAGTGTTGTTAGTATAGGATGCTTTTCATTTAATACAAACATCATTTTTTTAAACATTCAGCACTATAACAAAGATAATACGTTACTTATACAGGATGTATCTGAAATAGCGCCCACTAATTATACAATGCTATTTCTAATAAAAAATTAAATTGAAAAGTCCTCTATCATTTTGCAATTTTCATAATAGTTAACGAGATATGAATTTCTAAAAATTGCTAGAAAATGGATAAAATCGATGTATAAGACAATTTTTAAATATCTTTCAATGTTCTTTGTGAAATATTTTAAAAATGTTTCTTAAAAAACTCAAAGATACGAGTATCTTATATTGAGTTGTCTTATATTGATTTTAGACATTTTGTTCATTAGATGACTAAAAAAAATATTGCGAAAATTGCAAAATGTTAGAGGACTTTTCGACTCAGTTTTTTATTAGGAATAGCTGTATGATTAGTGGACGTTATTTCAGATACATCCTGTATAATATCAACGTATATCACTATGGAAAGCATCTACAATATACACAAATTCTAATAGATTCAATTGGTACTCATTGTCAGAGAGAAAAGATTCAATGTTAATAATACAAAGTAGCACTTCAAATATCCGAATACTACACATCCAAGTATAATAGCTAGTGAAAATATTCATTGTCAACAAGTTAAATATAACAATCGTTACTATTGGGAGTGTCGCTGATCTTCACTCAGCAATCCCTTAATAATTAATCCCGTATACTTTTCTCGCAGCGACTGTCTCTATCGTGAATGCGAGACGACGTAAGTATTGGACATTTATCATTTTATTTGTGTCGGAGAGCTGCCATTATTATGGGAAGAGACTCATTTTCTCCCATATGGTACGTCTCCGAGGGCACAACAAGTTTAAATCCTTCCCTCCCTCCTCCTGCACCAGCATCGCCGTCGTTCGTGTCATGATACTCGCAGCAACAACTACAAACACCACCACCGTCATCATCACCGCCACCCACTGACAGAACAGGCAGCGAGCACCGGTCAATAAATTCTCGTGGCCGTCCCGGCGCGGCAATCTTCCCGCGACGGCTGTCAAAACTTTACTTCGAGAAAAACAATACGTTCAAAGAAAGCATCGAAGGTAGTGATTGTTGAACGGGGAGAGGAATCGAAGGCAGAGACGAAACGAGAGATGATATGTGATAACATAATAATATCGATCGATTGCGGAGCTACTAACAGGAAGTTCTTGATATTGCCAGGCCGCAACGAGAGGATGGGCATGAGCACGACTGCGGTCATCATCACGACACCATAATAAATGAGGAACTTGAAGTAATAACGGAAGGTGCGGCTGGTCTCGTAGAGAAACGGCAGCACGAGGATAAAACCGACGAGGATCACCTCGAAACACGACGGAGCCATCTTCCGCGGCCGTAGGGACAACGGACGCGGGACGACACGAAACGAATTTCGAACACGCGAGCTTTCCGCTCTTTCCTCTTCTTTTTCTACGTTCTTTCTCCCACAACGATTACGCTCACGCGATTTTATCACGAGCGCAGACGGGCTCGCTCCCTCGCCCGATGCCCGAGACTTGGCGGGGCTTCCGACGACGGGGATCCCTCGAAGCTGGCGCGACGTGACACGCTGCTGCGCAAGCGAAACACTGCCGTCGTCCGACGGACTGACGACGAACACTTCCGTGCCGTTTGCAAAGAGGGAGAGAGAGACCCTCGGCGTTCTACCTTCTACCCCCTACTTGTCACTACTTATACTAGTTGCAATCCCCATTCGGTTTCACACGAAGACACTTAATTTTAGTTTTTGAGGATACGCTTGTCACTATATATTTAAATCACAATACATGAAAAATCATTTAAAAACATTTTGAAAATATAAATTGTTTCAAACATTGCGTCATTGAATATCATATATGCCTCTTTTAAACGTAATAGGCTGCGTTCAGCAGAAAAAGCAACTTTGCAAAAATTCTTTTGAATTGGATTGAATTTTGTTTTCTTGCTAAATTAAAATCAATAATATGAAAGAATCTTATAATAATTGCTAAGCTGCTTTTTGAAACAGAGACTTTATATTTAGCCTTAAATATTTAAGTTGCACGTTTTTCTATAGAAAAGTTGAGACAAAGATCTTTGGAACGCCAATTAATATAATACATTAATTAATACAGTGTACATTAATTAATACAGTGTGTTACTCGAGCAATATAATTACATTCAAAATATTAGGTTGTCCGGAAAGTTCGTGCCGATATTGAAAGAAAATTGAAACGCAAAAAATTTTAATTTAATAAATGTATACTAAAATTTAAATTTTAGTCGGTATCAATACGTTTTTAAACATTAAAAATTGTGTGCTATTTGACACGATACGTCTTTTAAATTATTTAAATAAATGTTACATAAAACATAAAAAAATGTTTATATAAGACATTTGTAGTATTTTTAAACTATTATTAAACTTTTTTTTACTACTAATTTAAAATAACATTTTTGCAGCAATTTATAATTCACATTAATAATTACGTCTATTTAACATTCTTATAGCATAAAAATATTTTTTAAATGTAAATTACTTAGATATTTTTTTATTCTTATACAAAATTACTTATCAAGATCGTAGAAAAAAATATAAGAAAATATTGAAAGTATATAAACAAAATCTTGAAAGATTGAAGAAAATAAAACGTAAAGAAGAATTATGTCTCTATATGCTTCAATATTCTTTCTCTTGTTAAAATAACATTTCTTATTTCTTTGTCGGAACAAAGGTATAAACAGAGTTCGTTTGCTATGTTTTTTCCAAATGTTTTCTGAGTTAAGACCAAATTAGATGTGTTGATCCTCAATCTATTTTTTGGGGAAAAGTAAATTAAATATGTAGAAGAAGTATTCATACTAAATAATATAATTATATCAATTTTATTTTAAATTAAAAGTTCGAAGAAGGGAAGATAGAAATAATATTTTCGTTTTGTGATAAAACAGGCAGTGGTTTTAGTATATATGTATGTAATTAATATTTAAAAAGATGAAGGGAGTAACACAAAGGACATCACAAAATCATTTTCAATGGATATTCAAAAAAGCAAATAACATAATGATCTGAATTACTCTGTTTTTGTCAATATATTGTTATATATGTATATTATGAAAATGTATGTGATATTAATGCAAATGGTGTACACACACACATTTGTATTAAAGTAAAGTTGCTAAGTAGCAATTATTAGGTATATCAGTAAGAAGTGTATTTAAACTTTTCAACTTTTCAAGTGTCAACTTTTTATTTATCTGTATTTTTTTTGCATTTTATGCATTTTGGTTTTCTTCTTTACATAAATTGCATTCATTAATAAATTATTAATATTTATATAATAAATTTAATTTATTATTAATCAATTCTCAATGTTTAATTAATAAACTTTAACTAATTATAATTCTCATTTGCGTACATGAACAATATTGATCATTCGATTGATGAAAAAGCGACATTCCGATCGTACTTAATAATCAGATAGACATATAAAGAATATTGATTGTTCGCCGTACAAATGTTTTTCAGACGTATGTGTACGCATTCAATGATCAATCATGGTAACAATTGCCTCCCAAGCAAATTAAATGACAGTATAAATACGTCTTAATGCAAATTAGCAATAAATTTAATCAAAATTTTGTATCAAAACTAGTATCTGTATCTTCGTTATAAAGAATAAAATTCTATTTTACTTGCAAAATTTGTTCATAAAATGAAAGTACATTGTCACCAAAATTCGCGCCAGATTTACTGGCATAATCTAACAACTATAAATAGATGATAAAATCCGAATGAAAATATGCACAGCGCAATATACAACATAAATATTGATCAGAAGACTGCGCATACTTGAATAACTGAATATTTTGCATAAAATGCATATTTACAGCCCTAATAACACATTTTATCCGGAATACATCCTGAGAATGTCCTTCTGATGTTCAAAGTACATAAGGATATTCTTTGGATATCCTTAGAAAGTTCCCTGGAGGTCTATTAGGGAGATGGGGGCAATCTCAATCTTTTTATTTCACTTTTTAATATACGAAAGAAATCTCACATTTTTTAATAACTCTTTAATAAACGATTAATTCAAAAAACTGTTCAATAATTAATATTAAGTATGCGCATAAATATCTGCAGTTTACTGATTAAAGTAAAACTTGCTTTGCTCATTTTATACCCAGCAAATGAGAATGGATTAAAATGGATTAAAATGGATTAAAATTTTGTTCTATCCATATTTTAAATAGCGAATACTTTTTTTGAATTTAATTGGATTCAATTAGATTTAAATGGATGCAATTGGATTGAAGAACTGCATTTCCTATTCAAAATTTTGAATTAAACAGTATTCATAATGCACAGAAAAAACTAATAATATTATTTTTAGAATTGAAAGGCATAGAGATATGCTCCATGCAATTCCTATAAATGAATAAAAAAGCATTCAAGATTGAAAAACATTCATTTTAATATTCGTGAATCAATATTTTGTGAAAATCTGAATTCATTTCAATCCATTTTCGGTTGCTGGGTAAGCAACAAGTTTTGCATTTTTGTAATCGTTTCATTTTTGCAAATATATAGAGTCAATTAATGGATTTTCCATTATATTTATCGTTGTTTCTGCTAAGGAATTATTATATTATTGCAAATGCTTGGTAAAATATATATGTTTTTTTCATCTTATTTTGGTCCTAATTCGCGTGTACACTCGCCTAAACACTCGACTAAAAGATTGCAACAAATTTTTTTCTATGGTTTTCGGAATGCAGTCTACTCACCGAGCGATTGATTTTTACTTACGGATTCATAAGTATAAATTTAAAAAAAAGTGTTGCAATCTTTTAATCGGTGAGTGTACACACATAAAATATCATCACGAAGCTCACTCTTATTATTTTGTCCGCATACAATTGACATATATATATATATATATATTTACATAAACAAGACATTTACATTATTTATGTCAGTTGTATAAGAAATAAATCTCATATTTTTTAATCTCTGTATAGACCTGTCCAATTTGAGCTCCAGAGCTTGCATCATTGACGCAAAACATTCAATATAAGATTTTAGGAAGTATAATGTGTTGATAAGCGTCATTCAGGTGCATATCAACACTTTGCAGTTCCCGAAATCTTAGTCACATTGAATTTTTCTGCATCAATGGCTTTGCATTTTGGCCAAATCCAATTTGAGCCGGAGCTTCGCAGTAAATAATTTTGTTTTTGATTACTTAGATAAAGCGTTATCTGGTTGTGATGTCACTGACTGATTAGATATTTCAAAAATAAATATATGATAATGTAAGAAGAAAGTTGAAAAGATAGTCATATGAAAAGACAATCTGTAATTTCATCAGAATTATATTAATGTCCAAAAAGTTAACAAAAAAGATTTTAAAATAATTTAATTTGTGACTTCTTCATTTTCTTTTATTTTGCTTATAAAGAATTTAGTCGTATTTTTGTTTAACGTGATAACATAATTATTAAATTTTGGATAAAAAAGCAATTATTTTTTTATATCTTTATTCTCTAACAGTTATTTTATATCTTACATTTCATTTCCATAAGCCTGGAAATTGATGTAGAAGAAGTCCAATGAAGTTTTGAATAAAGTGTTGAAGTTTTTATATATCTACATTGCGTGAGTCTTTGCATTTCTTTTGGCATTTCTTTTGATTTTAAAACATTGAAATTTCACGAGTAAATTATTTACGAAGAAAAAGATCATATTGAAAACCCTGCTTATGATCCAAAAAAGAAAGAGTATTTCTTTATCATTTTACAATACTCCATATTGTCCAAGTGTTTGAAAACGATAATATATAATTGCCTAAAAACAATGCAAGGATACGTTTTCAAAGTGTTTTTTTTTTATTTGTTGTTTTCCATTTGCAATGAAAATTATGGCGATCGTAATGTGAACATGGTGCACGTGTTCAGCATATAATGCTTGTGATGCATTTTATTCCTGTTTAAATTTAGTGAACAATAGAAATATACAATGAAACATTATTAATACTATTAACATTAATACTATTTACGGAATGCAGCTCATAAGAGATCATCTCGATTTGTACAACAAAGTTAGTGAAAATCCTTGATATCAATAAAAGTTGACAACATAACATGTAAATTAAAAATAAGAATATACATTGCAGTTGCGGATATATATTATCGTTCAGCACCGATTCGCCTCAGTGAAATGCATACTCCCTCCGTTTTTTGCCAGTCTTCGATAGCAAAAAAAGACAAGACAGTATAGGTCATAGAGAAATTTAGTATTATAGTGCATGATAAAAGTTCTAGAATGGCTAATATCTCCAAAAATGTTGATTTATTTAATAAAATGTTTAAAACAAAAGTAGAGTTTTAAAAAAGTTATCAGATATTAATTTGATTTTGAAATGACCTTGGAAAGTGCTTTTAAGTCAATACAAAAATATTAAACGGAACTCCCTATTTTTCATAGTATATCTTTATAATTGACGTTGAGACGTTTTCCAGAATACTAGTTATAAACTTTTTCTTTATAAGAACTTTTCAAATTATGGCATTTGTTTAAATTACAGTACCGCTGGCATTAGCATTAAATTTTT